TACACATTGTTGCATATCTGAAAGGTTCACCTGTACAGTATACCAAGAATAAATCGAAAATTGATTCTTTTTATCTATGTCAGAGTTCAAACTGTAGTATGTGTGTGTGAAGCTTGCGTGCACAGGTTTCAATTTTCAGTTAAAAATGTCATCAAATTGTAAGCATAACCAAGTTATTAAAGATCTAATTGAGGTATATAAATCAGAACCTTGTCACTAGCAAACAAAGAGCAAGGATTATTATGATCGTTCAAAGAGTGAGGCTGCTTATGCAAAATTAGTAAAGAAATTGAAGAAATTAGAGCCTGATGCTGTTAAGGATACTGTAGTTAAAAAGATTGATATAATCTCAGAAGCAACATACATAAATAGAGAAATTAATATGAAGCATCATCTTGTGCCGATGTTATGGATTAACAAATTGTTGGAAGCTCTGCAGTTTATCCTTACACTTATGAACACTTATTCTATGCAGATATACCTGTGCACCTCATAGATAATCTGTGCAGGTAAACCATAATGTGTATGATCGACTTAAGTCCTTCTGCAAAAAAATATAAGTTCAATCATCACTATCAGAAAGAACAGATATTACCAGATAGGTATAGTCAGTGAGTGTGTCCATTAATGTGTTGATAATATTTATTATTTTACTTATAGGTCCTTAATTCTATGTTAAAAGAGATATGTGCTGCATTGTTGGAGGCAGATGTTAATATAAAACTTGTAAAGAAATTAAGGGAAAATGTGCGCTTCGTTATTGATTTTGATGACATGGCAGGTGGTCTTAATAAGAGGAGAATGATACAAAGTGCTGTGTTCAAAGAACTTGTAAAGGTAACAACAACATGTTATTATTTATTAGGAAGTATATTGTTATACTTTTCTATTCCAAAAGAATAAGTAAATATCAAAAATTGTTAACATTGATTTTACCAAAATCAAAATTTTTATGAACTTTATTGTAACTTGCAACTTTCTTATGACTTGTACATTGAGTATTGTCCTTATTTTCTTATTTTTCAAAACCATTTAGAATTATTCTTTATTTTGTTAAGGAATTCCTGGGTTTAAACACAAAATACATTTAAAAATGTAAATTCATTAAAAGTAAAATTCAAAGCAACTTTTTCTTGCGTTGTTATTAATATATGATACTTTCGGGGTATTTAAATTGGTATAAAGATTTCAAATACTTACAATTAATAGAAATTTTTATTAATTTTAAAGTTTTTATAATATACCAAATGTGATTTTTTACAGTTGATTGATCCAGGTGTAAAAGCTTATCAGCCTGTAAAAGGAAGACCAAATGTTATCATGTTTGTTGGTTTGCAAGGTTCAGGTAAAACTACTACTTGCACAAAACTCGCATATCATTATTTAAAGAAAAATTGGAAAGCATGCTTAGTTTGTGCTGACACGTTCCGTGCTGGTGCTTATGATCAAATAAAACAGAATGCAACAAAAGCTAGAATTCCATTTTACGGGAGGTTTGTAAAATTACAATTTATTGTGTTTGCATGTACAATATTTATTCGGTAGTTTTTTTTTCTATTTTTCTCACTATATTAAATAGTGAGACAAATAAAAAATACAGTTATTACCTTTACAAATGTAAGTATTATTTTCTTAGTTACACAGAAGTAGATCCAGTAGCAATAGCACAGGATGGTGTGGAAACATTTAAAAAAGAGGGTTACGAAATCATTATTGTTGATACGAGTGGCAGACACAAGCAGGAAGAGTCATTGTTTGAGGAAATGCTTCAAGTTGCTAATGCTATTGTAAGTACTTTAGTAAATATATGTCCAGTTATGTGTCGCAAGTCTATGGTGAAGCTTCCCTCAATTTTACTTGCCCCTGAATAATTTGGCAGACAAAGTAAAA